AATAATAATAATAATAGTAAAATAGCAGTTTATTTGACTCTAACCTCTGAACCTGCGGGCCTAAAATTCTTTAAAACACCTTAAAAAGCAAACACAAATTAAATTACGTTGTGCTCTTTTTAAAGCTATTAATGTGACTTTATAACAGCAGTCATATTTTTTGTAACTGCAACTAATATTTAGTTGTTAAAACACACTAAAACCATAAGATCTTAAAATTAGAGAACCCATAAAGCAACCCAGTTGGTCAGAAAAAGTGTCAATCAAAACAGGAGAACCTATTCGATTATTTCCACTCCCTCTTTTGTAAATTAGAAAAGTAGACGTCAACGCAGAGCCAGGTCAGCCGAAATTATTTTTAGAGTTGAAATTGGACGAGTACATTGGTACAAACTTTATAAACATAAATTTTATTTTGGGGGTTGGTTTTTAAATTTAAAAACTTCCAGTTGGTATTTGTTTCTTTTTCCTGTTTTAACAATCCCGCACCACATTGTGAGCAAAAAGCTAAAACTATTTACTAAACCTGCAATTTGTATATAAAGTGAGGTATATAGAACGCAAGGGTAACGTTAACAGGAAACACTGTATGAATTATTAAAATAAATTAATATACGCAGGAATATCTACAAATAAAATAAAGTTGCAGTGAGCTTGGACTCGCTAAGCTTCCTGGACTTGGACAGATTTCTGAATTCCCCCCGTCGGCTGTAAACGTTACCGCGGGTTAGGAGACAAAAAAAATCCTGTCGCTCAGATTTTCTTCAGCTTTAAGCAGCGCTGACAGCTGCTCTGTCTCTGGCACTTCCAGGATCACTTCTCCAAACTCTAAACTCTTTCTCTGCAGACGGACCAACCTGAGATATTGATTTTCTCTTCATCCTGCAGAGTTACTGACTCGGTTTTATTGTTCATCCGTGAGCCTTCAGAGGAAATATTTCGTGTTCTTTTTAGTGTTTAATGAAAAAAAATGCATCTATATTGTACTTTTAACCATTTAATAAACCAAATGAACAAAAAGTTGCAAGTTTCTCACCAGAACCAGCCTTAAAATCCATTATGGCTGCCTGGTGCGTTAAAAACCACTATAATAATAATTATAATAATAAGTTTATATCTTATTAAATCAAACATCCTGTCTGTTTTCTATCATTTTTCTATTCCAACAAGATTTCTTTTTTCTTTCCAAACTGAATGCATCTTTGAATACCCCCTTTCTGTATTTTTTTGCAAAATAAACCAGCGTTTTTAATACAGTGTTCTATTTATAACATCTGCATTCTGTTTCCATCTCATGGTAAACAACCAGCAGAGGCATGTTTCTGACAGCTTCTATCATTGAAATGGTAACCCCTAATACCAGCCACCTTTAAAATGTGTTCTGTATTATATTTGTTTGTGTGTTTAAAGCCCTGCTGTGAGCCTGAAGAGGTCATTAAAGCTCATCTCCGGAGCTGCTCGTATCATCTGTGACATTTTCATTATGTTGAACCCAGAACGAAAACGCAGGGATGGGTTTATGTTTTTGTCTTGTGTCAATGAGTCCCTACCTGTCGTAGTCGCCGTTGCAAAGAGCTCGCACGGGGATTTTAAAGGCTTGCCACACGGGGTTCAGCGTGTTCTTCACCACCTCCGTCTTGTGGCAGATGGTAAACCTGGAGAGGAAAAGGTGAAAAGTGACTAAAGAGGACCAGAGACAGAAAACCTAAAATGAAGTTAAGGGTTTAAGTTTGGGACCAATCCAGTCTTTTCCCAAATCTGACCCAGGTTTCCATATCTGATGTTTTACAAAGCGGCCACAGCTCGAACGCTCATGTCGCTCTTCCACTGACATTTCTCATTTCCCGCCTCTTTTACGGGCTCAGTTTCTCAAAAGAAGGCGAGCATTCGAACGCTCTCGTGGCCCTGAAGTCACTTGTTTTAGATGTTTACTAGGGGTGTAAGAAAATATCAATACACTGAAATATCGCGATATTTCATTTCCCGATACTGTATCGATATTCTAAAGCCCTGTATCGATTTTTTATTAAGTTTTAAAATGTCTACTTTCCTGCCAGCCGTTCATTTTTATGTTGTAGTTCAGCCTCTGACCACTAGTTSGCAGCAGTGAGCCAGCCATTTGGCTCCTCTACCTTTTGAGGTAGAGGCTATTGTTACGTGTTGGGTGACCATGTTGTAAATTAATATTAAAAACTAAAAGCTGCAAAAAATATATTTTAAAACTACGGTATTTATTGTCAAATTTAGTCTAATAATTGAAAACATGGATGAAATAAGAAATATGAAACAAATAAAATAAGATACATACAAAGCAGAACATAGCTAAATGTATCAAAAGTATGTCTATGTAATATTAGAATTTTCTGAGACAATGAATTTTGGTTTTTCATTTTTTTTCCTAGTAAGAGGTTTTTATTTAATAGAATTTTTGGACAAAAAAAATCGCAATATATCGTCTTGCTTACAGTATCGCAATATATCAGGATATATCGTATCGTGACCCCTCTGTCATGATATGAATCGTATCGTCAAATTCTTGACAATACACAGCCCTAATGTTTACTTGCATCATCGGGCAGTGATCTTAGTTTCAAAGAAGCATAAAAAACTCCAGCATTTATCTTTGACAGCTGCTTACGTTTTCCTCGTTTATTTCCCRTTTAGCAGCAGACGGACTCAAAAGAGTGATTATTTTCCTCCCATATGTAACTAAAGTGCCTCCTGGAGAAATACCAGCGAACCCCGCAGGTGACTTGACCTTCAATAAGGATAACCGCCCATATTTTCTGTGTAATTTAATCCTCACAGGAGGCGCGCAGGATGACATGTTTATTTTCAGATTCTCTAACCATAAACGCCGACTGAACTTTCAGAAATTTCCCACACAGCTGAACCGTAACTTCATCACAAACAACTTGAAGCCTCCAGTCTGATAAGACAGAGGTTCCCAACCAGGGGGGGTCCATTACCTTGTCTGCTCAATTTATTGTTTTTTATACAAATATCATCAAAACAAGTCCATTTGAATAATTAAAACTATATAACTCAGTTCATCTTTATTTCCTTTTCCACATAAAAGTTCTTAACTATTCACTTGATTATTTTATTTTGATTGTATCTTTGCTATTTGACAAAAATGTATTTATTTATGTATTACTATTTAATATTATAGTAAAAAAAACTGYGTTTTCCTGTGGTTTTCTATGTCTGTCCAAATGTTTCATTTCGGAATAAAGAGGTCAAAATTTATTTTAATCCCCGATTAATTGAAAAAATAAATGACCAATTTATTGGAAAAATAAACAACCAATGAAAAGGAAAAAAATAATCTACCAATTTACTGAAATCATAATCGACCTATTATTCAAAAAACTAATTGAC